ATAATAATAATAATAATAATAATAATAATAATAATAATAATAATAATAATTAGCATAGTAGTAGCCCTGATTAAAGTCGATGTTGTCGTAAAAATGGCAAAGTAGGATTGTTTCGCGTCGCTGCGAAGGAAGGAAAGAATTAAGGATGAAATTACAACGCGGCGTGGAAACAGTTTTCGACTATTCGACGTGTGCGTGCGGACGTATGTACAAAATGATTCAGAATGGGCTTCACACGTTACGCGCGTTGTATGATACGAAAGAACATAGAAACAACAACAACGTGAATTTTGTTAATTAATACAATAATATTATTATATCATATAATATATTATATTAGATAATACCATATAACATAATAATATTACAATCAATTAATCAGAAGTCCAAATATACAAACCTGTTGAAAGAAGGAAGGGGAAGGGGAAGAGAGGTTCGTATAATTGGAGTTCTTTGATTCTACACTAGTTACGATTAAAAAGTTTTAAATTCGTTTTAAATAATACGTTCACTAACTTTTTGTTCTGTTCAGTTTCACGTTGAGACATTATTTCGCGTCTTTAATAGTTTAATAATAGTTAATCGTCGATAAAACTTGCATAAATGAATAAAACACTGAAAGAAACGTTGAACACGGTCATCACATTATTCATCACGTATGACGTTCACCTACGATCATGTACGTACATGTAACATGCAACAAAACAAAATTTTCAAAACTGAAGGATGTTACTCTCATGCACAGCAAAATCGAACGGACACGATTCTCTCCACGATGAGAAAATTTCCTTCCTTCGCACTGTAGTAATTTTTAATAACGATCATCCATCTCGAATTTAAATCGCGACTAAATCGTAAAGACCTGTTGTCCCCTTAATCTCGATATAATATAAAGCGAGAGAGAAGATTCCAATGAATGTCGATGTCGAGGATAGCCAAAGTGTCGCTTTCCAACTTCGCGGAACAAATACGTTCGAGCAACGACGAGAAATTGAAATCTACCAGCCCGAAACTTTAAACTTGAGAAAATTGCAAATCGACGAAGTCACGTGCTTGCTCAATGTGCTTGTCAACGATCTACCGGGATCGTTTGTTTCTTCCCGTTTCTAATCTAATATGCCCGCGATACTAAAATCGTCCAGTTTCTGAAACGTTCAATTTCCAGCGTAAATTCATGTTTGCATCACCTGGTATACTTTCTACATGCGCGCGCGCGCGCGCGCGTACATGATCCCGCACGTAGTTACGTATATGACGCGTGTGTTGTCGCGAGAAAATGGAGAAAGAGAGCCAGAGCTTTCGTTACGGTCGGCGGAGGCCAGAATCGGGGACCGTTCGAGATAAAGGGGCCCTATCCGAGCCTCGGTTAACAGCGAGGTCTTCGCGAAGTGTATTTACAGCGAAAGCGCTTCAGGGCGCAACCAAGGAGGAGGCACTGAACGTATGTAAGATGACACGGTGTGTTGGAATGGCTTCGCGACTATGCATAATGACGATGACGACGACAACGACGACGACGACGACGACGATAAGTATGACGCGCTATCGAAGGAAGTGGTGAAGGGACCGGAGGGGGGAGGGGAGAAGAGAGATAAAGGACGATATTTCGCTACGCTACGTAGGAATTAAAGGCAATGTATTCTCCGTTCTTTTTCTGGCTATACTATAATGAATCAAACGCTTCGAACAATAACTGGATAGTTACTAAAGGATGCATTATAAAATATAATAATAATAAAGTTCGCAGTACATCTGCGGTATAGTCTTTAACTGTACATTAACTTATAATCGAGACGCAGTTTGTATTATTCCTTAGTTATTCGTTAATGTTTCCTTTCACTTTCTCGTATTATTTCTCTACACGTTGTGTGTGAAAATTTTATTTTCTCAATTCTCTGTATCTCTCGTGACGGCGATACGATCCACATTAATTAGATTAAAA